AAAAAATCTGGCCCAATTCGAGCTTATTTATATTGGATTTTGATTGTAATTTCTTCAATCCAAAAATGGAACAACAACAGCAACAACAAACATTGTATAATCCCACAAATGGGGTCTGGGGAGGGTAGTGTGTACGCAGACCTTACCCCTACCTTGAAGGTAGATAGGTTGTTTTTGAAAGATCCCTGACTCAAGAAAAGATGAAAAGATAGCAATAGCAACAAGCAGTAACAATATCAAGATATTAAGAAAACAAGCGTCATGAACAACATGTAGTAATATCTAAAAATGGAAAATCAAACTAAATTTTTTATATCCTATACGAACTGCTCGTACACCCACCCCTAATCCCGTCCCTGATTTGTTCAACATTTTGTGGTAAATGAAAGCTGTGTCATAGCATGGAATGTGTTTGGGATTGGTGGTTAATGCCACACATAATTAGAGGAATAACTTGGACAGAAATTGGAGAGGAGAAAAAAGTGGGAAGTTTTGGGAATTGACTATAGTTGGAGAACTTCTACTTGTATAGAATTGGAGAGGAGAAAAAAGTGGGAAGGTATGGGAATTGACTCTGGTGCTCATGCGAATGCTATGGAAAGAAAGAAGAAGGGTACACCCATTATCCACCGAGTTTCCAATCGTGCTCCTCTAATCCTTGAGAATTTCGCGATTATCAAAAAAGAAAAATTTAAGGAAAGTATTAGAAGTGCTTGAAGAATCGAAAAGTCTTTTGGAACTTCTTTAGTTTTTCTTGTATACTCCTTTGTCCCTTTGGAGATCCCAATCACTGGTGATCGTTGGATCCTCTTTGTAAGTCACATTACAACAACAACAGCCCAATGAGCTCTCACAGGTGGGATCTGGGGAGGGTAGTGTGTACGCAGACCTTATCCCTACTTCGGAGGAATAGAGAGACTGTTTTCGGTAGACCCTCGGCACAAGAAGGATAGAGACAGTGTATCAGTAACAGCAAAGGAATCCAGAATGATAACACTAACAACGTAATAACCAGAAAATAGAGAGCAGAGTAATAACATTAAGCAGTAACAAAGGCACAGTACTACTGACGCAAGGGAATAATGTGGACACAAAGGGCCACTAAACATACTACAGCCTAACCTACGACCCTAATGAAGTATTAAGAACACAATTGGAGCCACTAGCAGCCTAAAACAAAACACTATCATACTAGCCTCCTATCTCCTAACCTACAACCCTAATGCTCGACCTCCACAACTTTCTATCAAGGGCCATGTCCTCGGAAATTTGCATCTGCACCATGTCCTGCCTGATCACCTCTCCCCAATATTTCCTACGCCGTCCTCTACCTCTTCTCGTACCCGTCAAGGCCAGCCGTTCACACCTCCTTACCGGTGCATCCAGGCTTCTCCTCCTCACGTGCTCGAACCTCTTTTTAAGTCACATTATTTTGTAAATATTCTCTATTTTCTTGGTGTGCTTTTATGCGGGGGAGCTCCCCATCACACCAATAGATTTCACCTTTTTTAGAAAAAAGCATAAGCTCCTAATCAGGGACACCTTTCGTGCGTACCACCTTGGGCCATTAACACATGTTATGGCTGAAGTTTTCCATTGTATGAATGCACCTTTGCATTAAATTCATCGCCATCTTGGATTCCCATGCTCTTGAGTTTGTTAGCCTCTATGGTATAAACTGGGCTTTCAGGGTCCTCAATTTGTTCGTAGGGGATTCAAATCTCATATCTGCATGATTAGACTTGGGGGTTCTTCGACAACCTTCAATCATCTTACCATCACGTAGTGCCTGTCATGGGCGGCTTTCCAGCCATGCCCCATGACCCCTTGGGCGCGCCCCGTGGCGTCCTAGCGAACCTCCCAATGCCTAGCGCCACGGACGGCCCCGTGGTCTTGGCCGCGCCAAGTGACAAGCGCGCTGGTGCCTCTGTCGCCCCACCGATATCCCTCGCGAGCGCCATGCCGCAGGCAGAAGCCAACAGCGCCGCGCGCGCAGACCGTGATGCCAAAGACATTGCTGCTGACAACGGGCCTGCTGCTACCTTATAGAAAACTAAGTCATTTTCATTGTAAATATAGAGTAGTTTATTTTATGCACTTTCCATTATGTTTCTCTAGCTTAATTAGGTCTACTCCTGTAACTTTGGTTTATTTTTTTTAAGTACTATTAGGGGGGATCAAGCAATCAAAACTTTCTAGCAAGCAAGCAATTCTCTGTACTGGTGTCTCTCCCCCTCGACACCGTGTTGCTTTTCTGTAATAGCTTTCATTAATGCAATCAAGCTTTCTTTCATTCTGAATTCTCACTTCTGTTCTCTCAATTGCTCTTGACATTGGTTTTCCCGTACGGCACTGACAATCTCGTCTAGCGTACGGAGGGGACCTCAGTTGGCGGACAGCAACTGGACTGACATCAGTTGCCTAGCCGTACGTCGCCCTTCCAAGGAATCTCAGGAAGGCGCCGCGTATCAGTCTTATGTCCAAGTGCCACAAGGTCATCTTTAGAGTCGTTAAACGACCATGGTAAGCATTTCTTGAAATCTTCATTACAAACTTTCAAAAACTCAACATTAACCAATCTCTATGGCTCGTAAGTCTACATATTGCTTGAAACTAACTATCCTTGGCTTGATCTCGGCCTATTTTTTTGGTTTCTAGTGATGTGAAGTGGATAGTTGGGTGAAGCTTTTAATCAGGTTTAATAATGAAGCATCTCATCTTCTATTGAAAAAATACAATGATGTGAAGAGGGTGACTGGATGAAGCTTTTGTTGAAGAATTCTTTATAATGAACCATCTCATCTTCTAATTTGGAAGCACAATCCCCTTGATATCAGCACTCAATGCATCAAGGCTATGAAGAGATGAATCAACCCTTCATGTTTTTGACTGCACACTCGTTACTAAGAGTAATGGGCACATATAATACCCCATTTTAGTAGCTTTCTCTCTCCGACAAAAATCTTCTTGTTTCACTAGGATTGTGTCTTGAAGCTCCACTATAAGGAATCACTCATAAGTTATAGAGGAAGCTCAATGCTTTGCATCTCCGGTGACATAATTTTTATAGAAAGAATTACAAGAAAATACATATGACTTCACACCATAACAAAAAATGACCCATGTTTTTGAGTTTTACCCGACCTAGCCCATATTGTATATATTTTGAAAATACTAGCTCTTGCAAATTCAAAATCTGTGTTCTTACAACTATTGCTTCTAAAAGCTATGGAGTTAAATCTGTGTTCTCACAACCATTGCTTTCACCCTCTTCTTCTCACATCTTTTACATATGCTTCAAGGGGCCGTCCACCATTACTGCTTCTCCCCTTATATCACCTGGTTGCAATGTAAAAAAATTGAAGAGTAGAAGTCCACCATTGATGACCATTCTAAGCTTTGCTTTCGAAAATAGAATTTTTTTGAGTTTGTTAGTTGTTTGGATTGGGTGTTGTTCCAATTGATCGAAAATATCAAAATGACTTCAAAATTTAAATTTGAAGTGATTTGGAGTAGATTTGAGCAAGATTTGAGTTAAATTTCAGAAAAGACGCAAGGAAGAAGACGAAGTCAGTTTTTTGTGTAGTTATGTATAATCTTGTATAATATTGTATATGAGTGTATAAACACATCTTATACATTATTATACACTTTTATACACCTTTATACAAGCGTCTGTAGACGAACTTCTTCCATGATTTTCAGTTGCAATTCTTGTTCAAAACCTGTCCAAATCTCCATTAAATGACTTCAAATTTTATATACAACCTCCTTATACTATTTCTAACAAGTCTAAATAACACCCACTCCAAATTTCTCACAAATCAAATTCGAAATTTAAACCCACATATTTAAGCTTGTTAAAAATTTAATTTTCACCACCCAAATGGATTTGGTTTGTTGAACTAATATTTGATTCACAGTTACTGATTCGAAAATTAACTTAAAAGTTTGAGCAATCTTTTTTAAAAATTAAATACTCCCTCCGTTTCATATTGAATGAGGTACTTTCCTTTTTAGTCTGTTCCAAAATAAATGACACATTTCTAAATTTGGAAATAATTCAACTTTAAACTCTTTCATTTTACCCATTTGCCCTTAATGAGAAGCTTTTATAACCACACAAATGTCATGGCCCCACAAATTTTTTACCCCTTAAGGTTTTAAGACCACAAGTTCCTAAAGTTTTATTCTTTTTCCTTAAACTCCGTGCCGAGTCAAACTACCTCATTTAATATGAAACGGAGGGAGTAGTAATTTTGAGAACCTATTGGAGTTGGATGTTGAATCTTAGCCTATTATTTTTGGGCTAGTTGGTTGTAAATTGAAATGTGGGCTATAAAATTGAAAAGTAGGGAGCCAGTTGTTCTTATGTGAAAATTTCCCATTTTTATACTCAATTATCTCATCTGTTATAAATGTTATCTTATGCTTGAAATTTCATTTTCCAGTAATTTCTGTTAAATTTATCAATTTTCTTTTAGATGTTTTGCAAAAAGGGAGTCTTGATTAAGTCTTCTTTGCCATTTGATGTGAAGAGGGTGACTGGATGAAGCTTTTGTTGAAGAATTTTTATAATGAACCATCTCATCTTTTAATTGGGAAGCACAATCCCCTTGATATCAGCACTCAATGCATCAAGGCTATGAAGAGATGAATCAACCCTTCATATTGTTGACCGCACACTCGTTACTAAGAGTAATGGGCACCTATAATACCCCATTTTAGTAGCTTTTCTCTCTCCGACAAGAATCTTCTTGTTTCACTAGGATTGTGTCTTGAAGCTCCACTATAAGGAATCACTCAGAAGTTATAGAGGAAGCTCAATGCTTTGCATCTCCAGTGACATAATTTTTATACTCAATTATCTCATCTGCTGTAAATGTTATCTTATGCTTGAAATTTCATTTTCCAGTAATTTCTGTTAAATTTATCAACTTTCTTTTAGACGTTTTGCAAAAAGGGAGTCTTGATCAAGTCTTCTTTGCCATTTAATGTAGTCAGCTGGCATTTGTTGCTAATCGGAAGAATCTGGATCAGCACATCTTGTTGTTTGGATGGTCAGTTGGTGATGAGAAGAATGAAGCTGCAACAATTGAAATTTTGAATGATAATTGGTCCCCAAAGATTGAGGCTCAAGGTGATCTAAGCTTTCTTCCCATTCCACCTTAACTTGCTTAATCTTGCTTTCTTTTGCTTGACACTATCATTTTGCCCTGTCTGTCTTAATTTCCACTTTCATCTTTCACACATTCTCGTTTTACATAATATGAAATGCTAGATTGCTAGTCCTGAAGATGATTATTTGTATGGGGGAGTGAATTTTGCTGGTACGATGCTAGTGACTGTCCATTACAACTGGAAGCAATATTAAGATGAAAATACATTATGCTTTGCTCTTTTTTCTTTTGGGGTTTAGAACATTTCCTATTGAGAAATATCTTATTTATTGTTCTCATTTGGATGTATAGTATTTTTCTCTTTTTTCCTGTTTGTTTTTTCAGTTTTAGATCTTCTAAGTGATGTAGAACTGGCGTTGAAATAATGGATCAGAGTTTAACCTCGTCAGAATGATGTAAACCTTTTTTGGACACATTAGATGATGTCAAACCTTACAACTTAAGTGATTATAACTGGCTATCCTTGTGCGTTGCGAGTTCACTTTCGTGTATTGGTACTACTTTAATTCAACAGCCCTAAATTTTTCCGATATGTGGAAAAATTAGAAGACCAAGACAAGAAATCAATCATCTTTTAGGGTGTGTTTGGTATAACGGAAAGTGTTTTCGGTGGAAAATGTTTTCCAAGAAAAACAGTAGTAATCTTATTCATTTTCTGGTGTTTGGTACGCAAATTAAGAAAAATAACTTCTCAAGAGTATTCATAAATAATTTAGATACAATAAACATGAAATCATAAATTTTCGAACCAACAACCTTCCGAAACTATTTCATAAACTTCCGAACCGCTAAACTTTCGAAACCGCGAACTTTCGAACTCGTAAACTTTATAATTTCTAAACCCGTAAACTTCCAAACACATAAACCTCCGAACTCATAACTTTGGAACTTGTAAAATTTCGAACCTGTAAACCGAAAGATAACTTTTTTGTGGGGGGTTGGTGCAGAAAAATGAAAAAACAGAAATTTTGAATTACAAAAAAAAAGTAAAAAAAAATTATTTTTTAGCCCGGGGTCGGGGGGGGAGCAGGGTGGGTGGTGATGGAAAAAAAAACTGAAATTTGAAAAAAGAAACCTTTTTGGAGGGGTGGGGTGGGTAAGGTTGAGAAGGAGCTTTCGAAAATGTTTTCCCTTCTCTTGATAAGGAAAACATTTTCCTCCAATTGGAGGAAATGAGTTCATAAGGAAAATGTTTTCCAAAACATTTAAGCCAACCAAAATGGGAAAATTGGAAAATATTTTCCGGAAAATATTTTCCTTCGTACCAAACACACCCTTATTGTTGAAAAGAGTTTACTGGCCGCTGTTGGGGAGTCTTTTCTTATTGAAGTCTTTAGTGGAAGTTGATGATTAGCTTCAGTGTGATGACTATTTTTGTTCATTTAGATGAGGCTGCTTCCGTTGGCTTGAATTGAGTGTGTGTAATCTAAACAAGGAAATGGATAAAATGTGGCTTATGGAGAGAATCGAGACGAAACAATGCACTCTACGATTGTCATGTCTGCGCCTTCTGACTTTGTGTATTCAGTTTAGAAATTACATCTTGTATAGTTGTATGACAAGATAAATTTAAACGTTTAACACTTAGTTGGACAGAGGTTTTGATTCTTTCTTTATACAAGTTTTACTGAAGAAAGGCAATTTTCGGCTTGGTTTCAGACAGTGGTGATGATATCTTGATCTTGGGACTTGCCATTGACAAAGTTTCCCAAAATGGGGAAGTTAAACTGTTGCTTGGTGAAGAAGAAAAAGAAGTTTCACCGTGTTGCCTTCTGCTTTGTCTTACCAATGATGGAAGGGTGTCAATTTTCCATTTTGCTAGGTAATTCCACAGCCATTTGAACCTATATGTGGTTATTTTTAATGGTTTGCATTCGTATCTATGCCGGTGACAATCTTTTTTCTGAAGGATGTATGAAGTAATTTAAATGTTTTTGTAGTGCTACTGCTGCTTCAGCGCCACCCCAGTCTACTGATTCTGAAGAGAAGAATGATGCTTCTATAGTGGCATCGTCACAAGATGTGCTAGTTGAATCTTCCAGCGCTCAGAAGCAAATAGATCAAGTAGATTCAGGGCTGCAACCTCATGAAATAGATAGACGACATAAAATTGTTGCAACGAATGCTCTATCATCTGCAGCGGTGAAGTTTAGCTCAGAAGAAGCGATTAAAGCCAGAAATCAGGTAATGATACCTGTCTCATTAGCTGGAGAGCTATAAGCAGCGAGAAGCAAAGATATCTTCTATGATAATCAATCTTGGTTGAGTCCTAACAGTCTTAACTTTTTGCAGAACCAAGGTGCAAATTTGGAACAGTCCACATCCAAAACATCTGTACATGTGGATGCTGGACGTGTGAGTAATTTTAGGACGCAAGAAACTCAAAAAGTAGCTGAAGTTAAACCTGGTGCATTTTCTTTCTCAGGAAATTCCTTAGGTAACTTTGCCATTCCTACAATTGGGCAGAGTACGGGAACTGGTAGTGTCATGGAGTTACCTGGAAAGATAATGTCAACAGGTTCCTCTACTGCTTCGTCCCTCTCAAGCGAACACCGCATTTCTTCAAAACCTGATGAAAGACCCTCATCCACACCATTCAGTGGTGTTCAAAGAAAAACTTTTGATTTTTCTGATAGAAATTCTTCTGGCTCAAATGAGACAGCTGGAACTTCAGTATCAATTGATTTTTTCAAGCAGCGAGCCTTGGCAGGTGCAGGGAATATTGAGTCATTACCTGCTTTTCCCGGCTCAAGGTTTCCGTCACAGAAAGGTTTTGTATCGGAGCCTTTGAAGCCTCACTTGACCAGGGAGACTTGTGAGGGAATTCCATCAAAGCAATTCTGCGATGTAAGTTTTATCTTGGATGAACTGTAAGATAGTGTGTGCTTGTGTGTGTATGTATCCTGTATCAGCAATAGCATATCACTATGCTCTCTTTTTCTTCAGTTTCTTTTTCATTTGTTTGTCATTTTTCTTTGGAAAGTTAAAATCATTCTTTTATCCATTCTGGCAAGTCTCCACGTTGACCCGGTTTTTGTTTGTCCTTTTGGAGTGATAGAAATTGTTAGTGTCTCAATTTTTAGAAGTAAGCTAGTTTCCTTAATATAGTTAAATTAATAGGTATTCATAATTTGGAACAATTAATATATTCTCAATTGAACATAACCCTCATATATTCTAGCATATGCTCCTCCTATGATTATTTTACTGTTTGCAGATTATTTTTTATATCATTCGAGTTTAATATTATATCCTGTGTAGTTTCTCAGATGCACGTGGTGGCATGCATTTTTCAAATTCTTTTATCCTTTTTACATTTTTGATGAGTATATTTGAAATGGTATTGTATTCATACAGTAGTTTATCTGCTGCTTTTCTACAAGGTATTGGAACTTGCATAATCATGTCATATTCTCTATTTCCTTCAAGGTTGAGGAGATGGCCAGGAAATTGGATGGTCTTCTAGAAGGTATAGAAGGTGAAGGTGGGTTTAGAGATGCTTCCATTCGTGCTCACAGGAGTTCAGTTTTGGCATTGGAGGAAGGCATAGAGAGTGTTTCTGAGAAATGCAGGATATGGAGAGTAAGCTTTTATGCCCATTCTCTATCTCATTTGATATCTGCTATGATGGCATGTTTCTTATGCAACTTTCTCCATTTGTCCCTGGTTTGCTGGTTTTCCTTCAATTCTCTTTTGATATTTTTTCATAAGTGCTAAGATGTGGTTTATTCACTTAACATATAGATTTTTGCTAATCTTGCTATTAGTTTCATAAGTCAAAAATCAAGCACTTCATCTGATGTACTATAATCGTGAAAGTCCTAAACTGGCTTGAACCTGGAATGCTGGCTTAAGATCAGTAGAAGGCACTGCTACTGTGGCTTTGCGTGGTTGAGGGTTTTGCTCCCTTGTAATTTCTATCTTCTAATTTGACAGCTGGAGCATTACGTTATTGGCGTTGATAATCTTTTCATAGTTGCATACAGTACATTGTCATTACATTAGATGTGAAGGTCCCAAACTTCCTGAACTTCAATAGTAGATGAGGTGAAGGAAAAAGGATTTCCTATGGTCTATTTCATTTTATGTAGACAAAACTAAAGCTATTCGGTTGTGATGATGCTTCTTATAAGACCATTGATTTTGCCTGGTTATGATTGTGTCCTAATTCCACCCATGTGAGCTTGCTCACATTGCCTGTCGGGGGCTGAGGTGTAGTTGTTGTTTATGATTGTGTCCTACCATGCATATGAAAACCTTCTAAATTAAATAAGAGATTACTTAGATATGATGTATTTTCTCCAAACAAAAAATAGGAGATTACTAAGATATGATGCAAGTGAAAATTGCTGCTGCCCTGCAGGGCTTAGTTCAAGTGGCAAAGGTTGGAGGGCTTGTGACTTACGTCACAGGTGTGTGTCCTGCGCAATGCGAACTAAGCTTGGTATTTAAGTGTAGAACTGCAGATTGGCGGGCCCATTATCCCTGAGTTTCAGAGGCTGCGGTTGGTCCTAAAGATTGGCCCCAACGGATTTCTCGGTCATAAAAAAAGTGAATTGCACGGTAACCAAGACAAAAAAAAGCTGCAGCAAAAGTGAACTGGAAAAACATAGGCAACCAAAGATCATAGAAATACAATTTTTCTCTCTAAATCTCTTCTAACTTCCATCAGATGAGTTCGGTACTATGGCACCTTTCTATTTGTGAGAAGGATTACAGCAATTATTGGGAGGAAATCGTTTGAATTAAAGGCGCAACAAGCAGATGGATTTTTCCCCCCTGTATTATTGATGGATTGGGACTATGTGAGAGAAGTTTTTACAAAGAGAGGAATCAGTTAGGAAATGCTTTAAATCATAGAGTAATTTTTTAAAGGGGGTCGTAAAGAAAGCAGTGCAGTTCTTGAAAGATGGTCATGGTGAGGGTGGGGTCATAAACAAAAGCAGTCAGTTCTTGAAAGATGGTCATGGCGAGGGTGGAGGCATTTGTGGATTTTTTCACAAAATTCTTGGAACAGGTGTTAGCTGGTATTGAAAGATCAAGGGTCTGAAATGACTGCTAAATCAATTGAGGTTTGGGATTGGAGAATTACATGGAGTATTAAAGATTCATGTTAGAAAGGTTCTCTCCAGCAAGGATATGCTCTGGGAGATCATTTGTTGAAGAAGCTATCCAGTTTGGGTAAAAGTTGAATTGATAGAGCTAAAAACTTTAACCACGAAAAAGAAATTTAAGTATATTTTTGAGATGGATAGGGGAAAGGGGACAATAACAAGGTCTTACAAGGAAGAAGAGCTTTTGAAGTACTAGTAGGCGATGGAGAACATGTCGCAGAGGAACTGCTATAATCCAATTTTTAATAATTGTCTCAAGAAACATGTAACATATTAAAAGAAATTAGTCTCAAGAAACGTGTATGCAAATAGGTAGAGAAGCGTATAATTCATGTGGGTGTTGGGTGGAGTCACTGACATGTGTGATGAAGCAGCAATTTCTTTGTGCAAATAGCAGAGTTTTGAAATTGTAGGAGAAGGGATGAGCCATTCTTCTATTACGCCAACTAACATGGGCCGTGAGGACTCTGAATGACAGGCTGGAAGATGCTGTTATTGGATGTGGAGAAACTGAAGATTGAGAGAGAGTCGGAATAGAAGTCATTGGTTCCATTTAAAAGATTAATAAATAAACCAGGCGAACAAGAATCTAGTGGGAAGAAGTGAATTGTTTTGTTCAGTTTACTTGTCTCAGAAAATTGCTAAACTACAATGAAGAAGACCAGCACATATTTTGGATAGCTAAATATGATTTGTCATTTCTTTCCATGGTACTTTTCTTCGTGGTACGTTTCTTCCTACAAAATTCAAGTGCTTTCTGTTAATGGTTTGCGAATCCCTTCGATCACTAAATGATGAATTGATACACATTGAGAAAACATTTTATTAATGCCAAGCACATCTTGGAAAAAATTATGGGCATCAACTGGTGCCCTACTTTTTGTTGTATTGATCTTCAGTAATGTCACCAAAGTTTTGAAAATCATGCAAACTTAAATATTTTTTAGAGAACGGAGTCATGGTACTGATTTGAGATCGTTGTTCTTCTCTAAAATCGTAGATAATCCGCTCTTCTTCGACATTTGGTTGGCTTTCTTGGAGGAGGGAACCAAATTTAGAAAGTTGAGGTTTATGGTCGTTCTTTTGATAAAGTAAAAAAGATTAAGGTCCCTTTCCAATGGTAAAATAAAATTGCAACCATTGAAAGGTATCACCGAGTCAGCATGTAGAAAGGGCTCTCATTTGGAAGTAGGGATTGCAATACCAAGATCCTTTAGTTGGTTGGAACCAATGGGAATAGAAGTAGAAGATCTTTTTCAAAAAAATCTGAAGTTCGATTTGGACCAAGCAATTCAAGATTGCAATACTATGTTTGGTTCAAGGAGGGAAAGAGCAATGAAGACAACTGGTGGGGGGGGGGGGATGCTTGTTAGAAGCATTTATGAGAGGAGTTATCCATGTATTGAAACTAGCATAACTTTATACATTGTTTGGTTACAAAATGGGGGAAAATAATCCCCACCTAGAATCTAGCATAAGTTATAATGTTTGGTTGGTTTTCCTTTTTCCACATAAAACATAGCATTGCTAATACAATGTTTGGTTCATATGTTCTTTTTCATATAACTAATGAACGTATAAGTTATACGGGAATCTATGTATTATTTTATGTGTGGTTGAAGATGGAATAACTAATGAATGTATCAGTAATACTTGGATTAAAACACAAAATGATAAGAATACCCTCTATTCAAACTTGTACTTTTTTGTTTAACAAAACATATTTAAAATATACTACTCCCTCCGTTTCAATTTAGATGATGTAGCTTGATTTGGCATAAAGTTTAAGAAAAAAAGACTTTTGAAACATGTGGTCCTAAAATCTTAAGGGGCAAAAGCTTTGTGGGACTATGATATTTTTGTGGCTATAAAAGCTTATCATTAAAGGTAAAGTGGGTAAAATGAAACTTTTAAAGTTAAATTGTTTCCAATTATAGAAATGTATCATTCTTTTTGGAACGGACTAATAAGGAAAGTGTGTCATTTAGATTGAAACAGACGGAGTAACAACTTTAATGGAATAAACTAGATAAATAATAAATAATACTACATTACATTTCTATATTACTAATTCCTATTAGGGACAAAGTGAGAGTGGCCTCCGGTGGACAAGATGAGGGGAGCGATGCTGAGATGGTTCGGACATGTGAAAAGGAGATGTATAGATGCCCCGATGAGGAGGTGTGAGAGGTTGACAATGGTGGGTCTAAGGAGAGGTAGAGGTAGGCCGAAGAAGTATTAGGGAGAGGTGATTAGACATGCCATGACACATCTTCAGCTTACCGAGGACATGGCCCTAGATAGAAGGATATGGAGGTCGAGGATTAAGATAGAAAGTTAGTAAGTGGTCGAGTTTGGAACACCGTATTTGTTCCTTAATTTCCATACCATTATTATTATTATTTTTATCATTCTCCTATTATTTTATCCGTCGATTTCTATTCTATCCGTTTCTTTTGCTTCGGTTATGTTATTGCTTTGTTATTTGCTGTTGTTACTGTCTTTGTCTTCATTATTCTCAGCATGGCTTCTTCACTACTGTTTTCTTTCTTAAACCTGCTTTGAACTACTTTTCTTTAGCCGATGGTCTTATCGGAAATAACCTGTCTACTTCCAAAAGGAAGGGGTAAGGTCTGCGTACACACTACTCTCCCCAGACCCCAGTGTTATCAAAGGGCTCGCTCAAAGCGCACTTAAGCCTTGAAGGAAAGCGCAAAACATGTTGAGTGCTTCGGTTCGCTTAGTTGGCGGTTTACCGCTGTGTCCAAGGCTCTAAGGCATATTTCTTTGTTAATAAGTGTTATCCAGGAGAGGCGAAACTAAATTATTGATATTTCACTTTATCTTAAATTTCTTTATCCAAATTTTTGGTGTTCATGGTTATAATTTTTAGTCTTGGACTATACATGTTTTTATAATTTTTTCTTCAGTTGCGCTTTTCTTCATTGAAACTCATGCTTTATTTGCTTTTTGCGCTTAACGCCCCAATGGACTTTAGCACTTTTTGCTTTTGATAACTGTCACACCGCACATGTGGGACTACACTAGGTATATTATTGTTTTTGTTATCCCTGCATAACTAATCCCTACATTACTAATCCCCACCTAACCAATTCCTACATAACCAATTCCTGCATAACTAATCCCTAATTCCTGAATTACTAATACCTATATTACTAATCCTTGCATTACTCGTGTTCGAACCAAACAATCCCTAATGTGTCATACAATTCACCCTTTTTATCCCATTTGAAAGGGCTAAAGAAGAAGTTCTTTGTTCTCAAAAGCTTTTCTCCTTCTTTAGGAAACTTGTTCAAATCAAACCAACAATCTGCATGTACATTCAAGTCAAATCATGTACAACTTTTTTATTTGATTCTGCAACTATCTCCATTGAGTCATCGACTATTTTAATTAAATCTTCGACTCCTTCAATTGATTTTTCAGCTTCAACATCTTTCGTTGAGTTTCAACCAATTTCTATTAAGTCTTCAACCGTTTCTATTGAGTCCTCAACTATCCATTGATTTTTCAACTCTCTGTCCATTTTTTAAAAGAAGTATACTCATACAACTTACACTCCTGGATCTTCTGTACTAATTTTTACTAGGACTAGTATTATTTATGTGAGATGAAAGAACTTGGATATTGAAAAAGAAATAACTTAAAAAAGCTATAAACAAAGTACCAAAGTGGTTGCGAGAACGATACGCTTTGGTTATCGGCGTAGGCTTTCAAGAATACAAAGAAAATCTGAATAGAGGTAGTACTAGTAGTTATCAGAAGTGATAAATGTTCTTTGACCATAAAGTGCTACTATTGGATAGTGAGTACTATTTATCGCTTTTGACCTCTTTAATGGCAACGATAAAATTGGAGAAGAAATTTAATTTTTCCTTGATTTTCTGAAGTGACAGATATTTTGAAACATTTTTTGGGCCAAAACAACATTTGAAATGGGACGGAGGGAGTATAGGCCAATTCTCCCAATCTCTTCTCTTGTATTTCCACTTCCTACCAGAATTACTGCTGGATGAGTTTTAGAAATATTTCTTCTTCTAATTGCAGGGGGTAATGGATGAGCAACTTGGCGAGATACAGCTTCTCCTTGATAAGACAGTACAAGGTATATATAACCGATCTTGTCCACTAAGTAGGCTGCTTTATTATTCCTATGGTCTCCTAAGTAAGTTTATTGTTAATCATTTATTTGATATATACATCATAATTGCGACAAAAAAACGATGAAGCAAAGCTTTAACAAGACAAATGGGTAAAGTTTCTTTTTACTCTTATTTGGAGTTCAATCATTCCCAAGATCTGGATATGAAGTACTACACTTCTAAAAAGTTGTGAATTGTGATCTTCACAGTTCAGTTTACACCTCAAAAGTTTAGGAAGACTATAACTAGGCAAACAAGTTACCATGTTGGGATGTGCAAGCTGTAGTTGCGGATGATTTAATGTTGTCTTATAATCTGGTACCGAAGATAGTCCTCATAATTAGCTCAGTCAAAGTAATAGAATAGGTATTTTGGTCCTTTGCATCCGGTGAAGGTAAGCTTCTAGCTCCAATGGTTTGATTATCAACAGCCTGCTTTTCAGCCATTTTTTTTTTTGGGTTGAAAAGAAGAAAGAATTTGGTGAGGATGGAATGGATTAAGGAAAAGGACTAACAACCAGGCTCTGATGTGTGAGGAACTTGGAAAATAGAAGGGAATTTGGGAATAGAATTGCTTAATTATTCCCTCAAGCATGTTGGGATTTTAATTGTGTTTACAAGTAATCAGAAAGAAAGTAATTCCTCTTCCTATTTACACAATAATTCAAATTTGAGATGTACCAAGGGTGTGGCCTAGTGATCAATGAAGTGGCGTTGAACCATGGGGTCTCAGGTTGAAATCTCAACGGAGACAAAAACACAGTGATTTCTTCTCGTTTGTTCAACCTTGGTAGATAGAGTTATCCAATATTTGTGCTGGTGGGAGGTAGCAGGTAACCCGTGGTTATAAAAAAATCGGATTTTAATCATTTCCTATATTTTCAAGTAATGGGTCCTTACGATTACCAATTTCGTAAAAAGGAAACCGACTCTTAGCACAATTCTTTTTCCCATTTCTCTGATTTTTCATACCGGTCTTTGCCAATGTCTCGGCCATGGGATATGTTCAGAGGGCATTATCTTATGAAATTTTTGTGCTTTGCCGCATCAGCTTCAGAATGTACATCTGGAAACACAAGGGAAATGTTCAGAGGACATTATCTTCTGAGCACCCTGCTTCATCTCTCTTCAATTACCTCTCTTTTGGGATGTTGAGCTTAAAACCATATAACCGTACCACAATCACTGCATTCATTTGAAAGAAACAGCTTGTGATTAAAGACATTGAGAGTATTGCCTAATCATTTTAATAACCTTATTGTTGATAGCATTTATCTCATAATTTTATGGTGTATGCTCTCTTTATTCTCAGTTTTGGCGAGGAAAGTATACATGGAAGGAATATTTAAGCAAGCTACTGATGAACGGTACTGGGATCTCTGGAATCGCCAGAAATTAAGTTCTGAACTGGAGTTAAAGAGGCAACATATAAAGGAAGTTAATAAGGTGCCAACAGAATGTTCAATGCTAATGCTTTTGTTCCTTCCTATCCTAAAGTTTTCCTTATCACTTCTGATTTTCTCCTTTTTGTAGAGCTTAACCAGCCAGCTGATTGAATTGGAAAAACATTTTAACACACTTGAGTTGAATAAGTTTGGTGACACTAGCGGGATACAAACAAGTAAAAGAGGTTTCCAGAGCAGGCCTGGACAACCCAGGTATTGGTTTGGCTCTTTATTTTTTGGCTACACAATTAGTTTATCTTTGTTATGATTGTCTACTTTCTGCTATCACTTCAAAGTATTGCACTTGTTGCATCCAACTTTCTTTCCTCCCTACAAGAGTAAATTTATTTCTCCAACCTGCTTTCTCTCTGTATTGGAACCTTCTTTTTCTTGTCTTAATGATCAAATTTAGGGTGAACTTTGGATCTATTCACATTCCAGGCATGTCCAGTCCTTGCACAGTTTACGTAATACAATGACTACACAACTAGCAGTAGCAGAGCAGCTCTCTGGAAGTCTCTCGAAACTGATGACTGATTTGAGCATAGATTCTCCTGCAAAAGGTCAGAATGTTAGGAAGGAATTATTTGAGACAATTGGTCTATCCTATGATGGTGCCTCTTACAACTCTCCAGTTAGGGAAAAGGCTGTAGATACACCTTTTAACAAAGAATTATCAGCATTTCTTGCTGTTAAAGAGCGATCCAGGAGAAAGCAAACGAGCCCTATGAAGAGCGCTGAACCAGAGACAGCAAGGAGACGCCGTGACTCACTTGATCGGGTAATATTCCAACCTTCTCTTGAGATGCAGATAACTTTTTTATTTTCAGTTTCTTACCTTGAGCACGTTTACATGGGCCTGTGCTTTGTTGTGTAAAACGTCATTTCAATATGAATAATTGCTGCTGTTATATGTTGCTGATCCAACTGCTGTTAACCCTCATTACTTCACTTATTGTGCACATGAAGGAGTGACATTCAACATATGTTCTGTAGTATAAGATAACAGATGATTCAGGTTTCATGAGGCAGCTCTGGATCAGAAAAAGCTACATCCAGTGCAAAAAACTGAAAAATTTCAGTTTTTTCATGGTTAATCTTTCTGTAGTTTTGGTTCTTTGGTTCGCTTCTTGGTTTCGAGGATCCGGTAAAAACTATAAAACTGGACCAAATTTTTGATAAATTGAACGACGGACACCCACCCCTATGAAGAATTAGGGTTAAGAAGGACAGCTATAGTTGGGATAGTAGAAGCTGAAGAGTCGTCCAAATGATTTAAGTACTATTTTCGACTACTGGAGAGGCTGCATGATTCAAGCAAATAGTATCTGGACTAGTGAACAGTCATCAAAAAATCACCTTACGGTATCATCTGAACAGTTATCAGAAAGTCACCATAAAAAATTGGTACTTGTAGTTACTGATCTACTATTACATTACTGTTTTTTCGGTAAGTATTACATTTACTGTTATCCAAGTGTTACTTAAGTTTTGTTTATGTTATATGCATCTTTTAGTTTTTAATATTGAGGCTTGAGGGCCAGAATCTTGTCGAAAAGGTTTTCATTTTCCGAATGTCGAATAGAAGTTTCTGGAGAAGTGGTTGGGACAATGGATGGGATAGTGGTTGAAAGAACAGTGAGAATACTAGTCGAAAAGAGGTGGACATTGGAAAAAGACTCATTGTTGTTGAAACAGTGATAGGGAAAAAATGGTGCCACCAGTAATTTAAACAGAAGAGAGGTGCATTGTGGTCGAAATGATCATAGGAAAAGAGGCATGGTGCATCCAAAGCACTAGGAAAATTGAGTTGCATGCTAGGACAGTAACACCGTTTTATAGGTGTTGAACACATTATAGATGATATTTGTCCTATGTAAAAATATCTAACAAAACATTTCAAGGTTCTAAATTTTGTGGGAGGGTAATGTACATTTGTTTCAGTTGGTAGTAATGGAGGTGCTTTATAAAACAGCTCAAGTTTTTGGATGCAGAGTTGGTCAATCTTTCTATCACCTATTTAGGGCCTTTAGGGCCTTTTAGAATAAACATAGAACAGGAACAAGGATTATGTACTTTGTAAGTTTTGGTATCGGAATAGTATGTTTATTCATTGAAAGACTATACAATACATCAACAAATATTGGAAAATATTTTCTTGATTCTAGACAGTCTAGAATTAACGAATAAGTCTAGTCTAAATCTAATCCCTACGATTTTAAAACTTTCCTAACTTATCTGATCTGATTTGATCCCATAGGATCAATAATCAGATAATACAATTCAATATATCTGATTTGATTTTATCACATATGATCATAGTCAGATAATACAAATCAATAGTTCCCCTCAAGTTGGCATGTAGATATCTGACATGCCTAAGTTGCTTACAAGACCTTCAATTCTTGGATTAAAAACCCCTTAGTAAAAATATATGCTGATCTGTTGGCACAAATGGCAAGCACATATTGCTATTAAAACAGAGTAGAAATCACATTCAAAGAAATTGTTCTAAGACTACTTTGATTCTCTTGGAAACAAAGTGATATTAATACGAACTAAATGTCTTTTCCTTTTGTGTGCTTTAATAAAAAAACCAAAAAATATTTCTCTTTCAGAATTGAAGAAGACATCGTTGGATTACCTTTTGAAGAAAAGTAGGGTTCCTAAAAAAATAATCACACTACCTTTAAAATAACCGTGTAGTTCAACCGTGTTGTAGCTTCTGTGGGCTAACCTCGCGATGTAGACCAAAGAGGAGTTGGCTTACAAATAAGTATTTTCATTTCAGTTAGTAGCACGTGTGATGGAAATTTCCATTGAGTCAATACATGATTTTGAAACAAAAAGAAAGACAACATGTTAGGCTTGGTGTATACTAGACATAAACTGTAGGGAATTGCAGGGAGCTTCACTAGGTTGTTGGGAGTGGGTAACCACAATGCAGGTTGGCTTTATACTTGGAATGGCGACCTAAGAGGAATTGGTTCGCAGTAGGTATTGTCAGTGGCATCTTTCAGCAATTAGCTTGTACAATGGAAGGTATATGTATTTAAATTATTTTGCAGAGCAAACAAAAGACAAGCTGTCAAGCATTCTGAATTCTTGATTACCTAGTAAAGCACAAAGTAAAAGTAGCTATTATGTCTTTGCTGACTGTTAATCCATGGAGTGATGTGAGTAAACTACGCAGGTTTGTGTGGGGTATGTAGTTGGGAACTTGTAATTAAGAGGGTAAACTTTAGCATCTATTCTAATTGTTGTTCCAATTAGAAAATTAAATTTGTTGTGCAGTTTTTCATAGATCTGAAGCTTCATTATTCCTTTAAAGCTAAAGTTTCTCCTGCTGCATTCCTTAAATTGGTATCTGAAGAAATATACTTGGTAGTTGGCATTTTTATGCCTATATAATAACCAAGTGCTTGTTTTATCATTCATCTTGTTCTACGCTTAACTTGTACGCATCATTTGTGACCTTTGGCAGAATTGGGCTAGCTTCGAACCTCCAAAAACAACAGTGAAAAGGATTGTCCTGCAAGTAGATCGCCAGAAGGATATTGCAAATAGGTCATCTTTGTCACTGGATAAGAAACATCACCATTCTCAGATGCGAGAAAGATCAGCGACTGCTCAATATAATATCTTTAATGCCTCTTCCACCTCCTCACAGCAACTTAAAAGCAAAGGTTTCCACCCTAAACCAAATAATACGGTGAATGTGTGCTTCATTAAATGGATGTTATGTAATTAAGTATATTTTGCTGAAAAATATGTAGGTCTTCATGATATGCCAGCAAAGCAGTCCACTGAAAATCCTTTTTTCCAATGGGCTGATGGACTTCCAAGACATGCAGCTGAAATGCCACCAATGGGTTCTCCAGTATCTTTAGTGCAGCATGAATCACAGTCAACCGCAGTCACTAGCCAATATAGTTCAATAGATACTCACAACCTTGCTAAGGAAAGATCAGGTAGCAGCACGATACCTCTTAGAGATACTGTGCAAACAGGTGGACTGAAGGCCATTCAGCAATCTGAGAATAGAATGCAGCAGCCAAACTCATCAAATCCTCCTGCACAGACATTTACCCCAATCAAGTTAATTGAGACTTCAAATGCAGTTGGTAAACCTGGAATCACCAAACCTACAATCAGAGATTGGAAGAATGCAGAGGTGACTAGTGAAAGCACGCAGTTTGAATCTAGCAGTAGTCCTAACTATTCCTTGCCCACTGCAACTGCTGGTGATTCTCCCTTCACTCTATCTTCGAAGGTCATACACTCTGAAGTTGTGAATAAGAGCCAGGTTACTGAGAGTCCATTTTCTTCCCAAGCATCAACATGGAGTTCCTCGTCACAAGTAAAAATCATGCCATCAGCATCTGTGTCTTCTTCACAAGAGCCAATGTTTTCACCAATATCATCTACATCATTTGATTCCATTTCTAAAGCCAATATGGGTTCTAGTCAAAAGGTCTCTCAATCTCAATCATCAGCTGCTTCCATGACGCAGTCTTCATCTCTTCCGAGCACTCAAAAGTTGGATTCCTTACCCATTACCCCTCCCTTGGATGGTGCAAAGTCTGAGTCTCCAACAGTCTCGTCTCTGCCTTCGGTTGCCATACTTGATACGAAGGCTGATAGGAATTCCGACAGACCACCTTCACTTGCGAATCAAAGTACGAAGATTGATACACCACAAGATTCAGCTTCACAGCCTCCGGTATCTGTCAGCGTATCTAATTTACAAACTGGACCTTCGGTCCAGTCAAAATCCACTAACGAACAATCAGCCAGTTTAAATTCTGCAAATCAGATCAGTTCTGGTGGGATATCAAGCGAAATCTTAGATGTGGGCTTGAATACTACACCGGGACAGCCATTTTCTGCTTCTGCCATTTCACCACCAATAGCGACATCAAGTACTGGTAGTGCAATTAATGTGAAAAGTGGTAGTTCAGATGTTGTCACCCATGAGGATGAGATGGAAGAAGAAGCTCCGGAGAGTAGTCAGATGACTGAGAATCCACTTGGAAACCTGGCTGGGTTTGGTATTGGGACTGCTGCTACTCCAGTTACTGCGAAACCTAATCCATTTGGTGCAGTATCACCCAGTAAAGCTTCATCTCCGGCAAATTCCTTATTTACAAGTACAGCTTCAGGCGGTGAGCTATTTCGACCAGCATCGTTTAGTTTCCAACCAATACAGCCACCCCAACCGTCAGCATCTGCAAATTTTGGTGCTTTTCCTGGTTCCACGAGTCAAGCTCCTGCGATGGGTGGGTTTGGCCAGCCGGCTCAGATTGGACAAGGGCAGCAAGCTTTAGGATCAGTTCTTGGTACTTTTGGACAATCAAGGCAGATTGGTGCTGGGCTACCCGGAACTGGTGCGGCATCTGCAAGCTCTTTTGGGAGGGGTTTTGCAAGCAATAACTCTGCTGGTGGTTTTGGAGGCGGGTTTTCTGGAGTTTCTTCTACTGGTGGTGGGTTTGCCAGTCTGGCTTCTGGTGGTGGTGGATTCACTGCTGCTGCTCCCGGTGGTGGATTTGCTGCCGCTGCTGCACCTGGTGGTGGATTCGGTGCTGCTGCTGCTGCTCCCGGTGGTGGATTTGCTGCCGCTGCCACATCTGCTGGTGGATTTGCTGCTGCTGCTGCCACATCTGCTGGTGGATTTGCAGGTGCTGCCACAGCTGGTGGTGGATTTGCTGCTCCAACAGCTGTTGGTTCAGGCTTTTCAGGTATGTTTCTTTGCTATTCGACCAAATCGTTCCTATTTGATTTGGATTAAGTAGAATGAAAATTTGTAAATAGCAAAAAAAAGTGAGTCCATTCTTTGTTATGAAGTATCTTGTTACAATTTATATATGGTTTCCCTCACTGGAATTTTAAACTATTTTATTTTACGGATTTCTCGTTGTTTGAAATTTCCAGCGAGGGAAACCATATATAAAAAAGAAAAAAATTGTCTTTTGGAAAGCGAGTGAGGAGTATCGTTCTCTCTTCTATCTGTGGTACACACTAGTATGCTTAATTTGTGACTTTGTGCGACTCAAATGATTTGAAATTTTACATAATACTACTGATATAGATTACTTGACATGGTAAGATACCCTCGCTTAAATGTGTGCTAAATTTTGAAGGCGGTGGTTTTGGAGCTTTTAGCAGCCAACAAAGTGGTGGCGGTGGCTTCCCTGCATTTGGTGGGAGTTCAGCTGCTGCAAGACCACCTTCTGCACTCTTCACGCAGATGAGAAAGTAGTTCCACTGACAAAAATCTTGTAAAGAAAATTAATCAGAGAAACAAGGAGGATAAATGAGTGTTGTAGAAGTTGTACTTAGTAGATTGTTTCAGTTCACTCTTTGTTACAAATTATCTCCTGTTATATCAGTTGTGGATGAAGCTGAGTGATGGGACAGACTCTTTGCATCTTTGTTGTGTATTATTTCATGTCACTTTTGCTCTTGGCGAGTTGGAACTACACTTATCCTACAGCTTTATCCCATGTTTACCCTTTTTTTTTTCTGGATTGTGACTCTGGAAACTCATTTTACTCCCCCTTTTCATTGCATTACTCCTTCTGTTTCCCTCGTTATACAAAAAAGAAAAAGAACAGAAAAAAATAATTCTCTGGACATAAAAGAGTAGATTTTGGGCTTGAGCGGAGCTATCGACCTAGTTGTTACAAAATTGCGCTGAGCCTGCTGTGTCAAGCTCCTGTCATTTGACTGTTGTATTCCGAGATAGCTAATTTCAGGATTGTTATCGCACATTGAATGTGGTATAACATAACGCCGAAATTTGTGTTGTAATTTATCTTGGATTACTACACCAAAAATAATATTCAACTAAATATGAAATTAAACAACACCACATCTATTTCGCGATTTTTTTAGGTTCTTTATCCCATGAATAAAACAGAGGAAATGTCAGAAGCAGAGGGCGAACATGTTTAGTTGTAAAACAACACTTCTACTCTTATGCTCTGTTGGTAATCACGATCAACCCCAAATTACTTCGAAAAGAAACGCTTTAACATACTAAGATTCTTTTATTGTTTCACTTGGACAACGTTAAATTTTCATGAGTGTAGCCTGTTATTTACTTTTCTTAGTTGATTTTTCTTTACATATTGCTAATGGATATTTATTTTAAATATTTTGATAATAGAGGGGAAATTATACTTTAATTGATAGGATGGCAAATAAGAAGATGCACTTAGAGTTTTTTTTTGAGGACTTTGCACCCATATATAATTGTTTTTAGATTTGTTTTTTGAATGTCCTTCAAAGATTCGGAAAAAGTTCCTTACATCTTTTTCAAGCCAGTTAAATAGAGTAAAAACTGGAAATAAAAATTAGAACAGAATAGTCCCAAAAAAAAAAAAAACTAATTAACTATAATATTGCTTGAGATGAGCTCAAATGGAGTGACACGATTGGAGTTCATACAACTGATCTCCAACTTGAATTAGGTATTGATGAGTAATAGTATTAGCCAAATGAATAATTATCATAGTACTAGTTGATTTATTTATAAGAGTTTGTTGCAATTAAATTGAGTGACGGTGACAGACAGTTGTTTTGGTCTTATAATTTTGCAATCTACAAATCTTTATTTCAAATGATATTATTTTGTACTGACAGATTGGTGAAAACATCATTGTCGAAAATGAAGCTAAGATGACAGACTAACCTCCATGTCTGACCTTGAGCTCGTGTAAAGAGAGGAAATGGAGATTCTAGAGAGATGATATAAAATGGGAAAAATTCTGTATGTTTTCCCATTAGCTAAGCTGAGTACCTATACACGTAAAAGGAAAAGAAAATAAGAAAGTGTGACAGCTTTGTGATAGCTAATTATTAGACTACCCCTGTAACTAATTCAACTCCTAACTCCTAACCGCCTAAGCTAACCAACTGACTAACAAACTCAATTACAACACAAACAAATAATACAATATAACAGCATATAACAACTCTATAATCTCAATACCCTCAAGTTGGAGGTGAGGAACTCACTTCCAACTTGCTAAGGAGATCTGAATGCTTGATCTCTATGAGAGCCTTTGTTAAAATGTCAGCTAGTTGATCATGAGTAGAAATATGATGAAGTGTAATCAGATCATCATGCAGCTTGTCTCTCAAAAAAATCTGGAATAGGATCAGTACATGGAACTGTTAATTCTTCTAACAATCTCTGCACCCAAACCAATTCTCCAACCACCTTTCTCAATGATCTGTACTCTACTTCTGCAGAAGACAATGGGATGCTGCGCCCCCTTTTTCTCGCGAAATTGGGTTTATGACATTTGAAAGGACAACTCGTTCCCTCTTGGGAATTGGGTTCAAGAGAATTGGAGAGTCGCCACCTAATGATTTAAGTGTATTAGGACACCAAGAAGGGTTTTTGTTTGGATAACCAGAGATTGGGTAAGGGCTTGAAATTATTCCAAGGGGAAGGTGTTAGGCACCAGGCACCCCTCAGAATCCACTAGTATGGTTTCCGACCAAGCTATTGTTGTGACTTTGAGTACAAATAACATGCAAGCAAGTAAGACTTTCAAATAAGAGGGGATTTCACATAACGGTTGCAAATTGATGAAGTAAAAAGAAACTGAAGGAAAGCTGAATTTTGAGAAAAACAATTTGAAATTTGAAAGTAAACAATGAAATAAACAAGTAAAAGAGGGGGGGGGGGGTCCTAGGTTTATAAATAATAGAGAAAATGCATAAAGACCCCATTCAACTTGTCCTGGAAAGTCATTTACACACCTAAACTTTACGGGTGTCCTAACACCCCACTATTTGAAGAACTGTATTTATTTACTCCCTCCTAAAGCCTGGCCCATCTATATTAATTTGAGTGGGAAACACGCGCTTCATAAACAGCCCAAAGAACTCCAGTACTAACATAAATGGCATATCTCCTTATATTATCCCAAAATTACTCCATTAATGGACCTTCTGGACCCAAAGCCAATGCCTTATTTTGATCATCAAAACCATTAAAAACAACATTACCCCAACAGATACAGCTCCCAATACCAAAAGTTTTGAGCTTTTCTCATTTAAACTAGCTTCAGACTCAGAAATTTCAGTTCTTGAAATTTTCTTGGATTTGTGCAAAATTTGTTGAGCTATTGGTTTAACTAAGTTTCTTTTTTCTGCAGCTAGTTGGTGAATTTCTTTCTTCCCATATGGCGAATCTTGAGGTTTATTAAGGGGTGAATTGTGCTTGAGTTGGATGAGTAATGGCAGATTAGAGCATTGGAAATGGAGTTGAAGTCTCATTTTCTCTTTTTGTGAGATAGAGCAATGAAAGGTTGAAGAAGAAATTAGGGCTCTTCAATTGGGTTTGACAAAAATTGGGGAAGAATGGATTTTACTGATGGTTGGGGGTTATATTGAAGCTAAAAAATTAATTTTTTCTTTTTTGGGTGTTTTTAACGATTAAAATAGAGCAAAGACGCGCTCAATTGCGTTGTCAAACACGCGCTACTGGCCAGGCCTTAGGAGGGAGTAAATAAATATAGTTCTTCAAACAATAGTGGGGTGTTAGGACAGCCGTAAAGTTTAGGTGTGTAAATGACTTTTCAGGACAAGTTGAATGGGGTCTTTATGCATTTTCTCTAAATAATATGGATCACTCCACATAACACCCGGTAATCACTTATACACGTGGTGTTATCGCGTGGTCATCATATCCATATCTACCCTTTCTCACCCTGTTAAGGTATTAAAGCGCGGAATAGTCTCATTTTCTTATTGCATGCTATTACCCGCCCCAATCCTATTAGTCCCGGAGGCATTTAGGACTACTAATCCTAGAGGGAAGGGATGTTGGGCTTTTATAGTTTCAAAGGTAAAAATACTAAGGCGACAAGCAAGAACACATATAACAAGCATGGGGAAAGCACATAAACAAATAAGGCTCAAACAGGCCTCCTTAGATCAAAGAAAAGCATATAGTTTAGCATGTCTTGCACGTACTGATTAAGGTCTGATTAAACTTAAAAGTTAAAGCAGGCTGATTTATCACATATTTTCAGATAAGAAATCCGAATTAGACCTGCCCGATGGTTGTAATTAATAAAGACTGATTCAGTTTATAACTTTTACCCTAAGGTTTGCCTATGTGTTAGATGGAACCTATAGGCATGATATCTACTGGCTTCAGAAATAAAGAAGAAAACTGATTGCAGATCGATACAGGTATAAAGAAAGTTCCCAGTTAAAAAAAAACGAGCACAAGTTCTACCATTGGTAATACGTTATTGCTGCTAGTTTTTAACTTACCAACGAATGAGGCGATTCAGATTTGAATTAGAACCCCTATAGGCATGCTTTCTATGTGTTTGTCAACTTAAAACATTGTTACAGACATAGAAGAGTACAGAAATTCTATAACATGATATCTAAGCGTGATGTGATATCTGATTACATTTTTTCGGTTATTAGGACCTATAGATAAGTTTGCCTAGAGAAAAACGGGTATGCAAGAATCAGAAAGGATCTATAGGCATATTCTCTACGTGCGTGTGCAGGAGCTATATACATAGTGTCTACATGAAAGTGCAGGATCCCAATAGACATGGTAGCTAAATGAGATGCAGAAGTTCTTATAGACATGGTAGCTAAATGAGATGCAGAAATCTTATAGACATAGTGGCTAAATGAGATGCAGAAATTTTATAGACATGGTAGCTAAATGAGATGCGGAAATCTTATAGGCATGGTAACTATATAAAAAATGCATGTCTTATAGTCATGGTAACTACATGAAGAATGCGGAAATCTTATAGGCATGGTAACTATATGAAAATGCAGAAGTCTTATAGGCATGGTAACTATATGAAAAATGCAGAAATTAGAGATTCCTATAGGCAAGTTATCTACCCATGTACATGCATGGTTACCCCTCCCTTTTCACTAATCATCCCCAAAAGTTTATTACAAAGTTATTACAGTCCAAAGAAAATAAAGTAAAGAAAATACATCAGAAATTGAAAATTAAAACCAAGGAGAGTCTGATTCAGATTTCCTGTCTGAAGTATGAAGTAAACCAACTCCAAAGATCAATGTTCAAAGCCTTTCTACCACTTGGGTATGTCAGCATGTTAAGCTAAAGTGCAGTGTGGAAGGGCCAGCCCTCAGGTGTCCAAGTTCAGAGGGAACTCAAGGTCCCAAGGCAAGGCTCACAAGAGGGGGGCAGAACTTAGGAACTAAGAGGGAGAGTGCAAGTGCAGAATTCCAAGAGGGAAAAGGGAAAGGGAAACATTACACATAGGGATATAAGGAATGGGGAATAGCAAGAGATAAATGCAGGCTAATGGGCATAACCCAACAATGAGAGATGCTGGCACACCCATAAGCCTACTAGAACATATTGTTTAGAGGTTAGGATCCCCTAAGGGATCAAGTTTAATCCATAGACAATAACTTGCATATTGCCCTATTTTAAACTGTAACTCAAAACACATAAAGGGAATAGGGAAGCGGAGTTCATAAC